AGCTGTTTACTGCCACATTACAAAAGCCTGCCAATGGTCCCTATCCTGAACCAAATGAATCCAGTCCACACCTTCATATCCTATTTCTTAGATTCATTTTAATATTATTCTACTACTTATCCCTATATCTCATAAGTGGTTGAGGTTTTCTGACTAAAATTCTGTATGTTTTTCTCATATGCTACATGCACCACCCATCTCACCATCCTTGAGATGATCACCTTAATATTTCAGAGCTCCTCATTATAAAATTTTCTCCAGTCCCCTGTTACTTCCATGAACTTAGCTTCACACATTCTTCTCAACACCGTGTTCTAAGACAGCCTTCAGCTTCAGGAGATGTAAAATTAGTTTTAAATACAAAATATTAACTGAGCTAAAAGAATCACAACATATCTCTGTGACAGAAAGGGAGTGATTTCTCTTCACTTAGTAGCATGGGAAGAAAAAGGGATTTTTAGTTCCAAAGTCAAATGGTCAGTACTCTTTGTTTCATATTCAGGAGGTCCTAGGTTCAAATACTGGCCAAGAGGCTGACCATCTTGACTGAAGAATTTTGTAGTTTCACTCTGTTGCTCTTGAAAAATGCTGGGCTAGTGCCTTTTCACAGATAAGATTTGCTTTCTTCCCCATCTTTTCAAGTTCATCATTCACAGTCATTCTAACATTCAACACTATATAGGTACAGCCATAATAATGACAGAAGTGACATTACAAAGCCCAAGCATCAATCAAGATGACTAATAGAAGAAAGGAAACAAGGATTCCATCTTACAATGTCTTATGGGCTTTTACTCTCACTCCTGCCATTATGTAAACATGTCAAATCTTTTGTTTCTTCCATAAAATTACAATTAAAGCAAATCACTGACTAATCCTTTTGTTGATATTGTTTAATCTTGGTTTAATAATGATGAAATCGTTCATCAGATGCTCTATTAGATGCTAGTAAGGAAACTTGTCTAGAAATGAACAAAGTAAGCATGTGTAATGAAAATTCATATTACCTTCTCAGGACAGCTTGTAACATGTTTTCTCATTACAAACTGAGAACCCCTGCACATCCTTCAGTTATCAATTGTTATACAAGGGGCAATAAGAAAGTAAGGTTATAAAGCATGTGTCTTTAAGTGATTCAACAACTCTTTGGTAAAATAACATACATCACCACTGTACAAACTATAACTATTTTTTTCTAAATTGTTAAAATGGAAGTAGACACACTCATCTTACCAAGGGACTAGCTTCTCCATCTAAGCCCATATAAGTTAATATATGTTTCTGCATATAAATCAGTTTTAAGTTTTTGGGCTTCAAATTTTGCTTCAGCACTGCACGATTTGGGTGGCCACAGATTTAACCAGTCAAGTGGTTATGACATCTATAGATGTCAAGTATGTTTCCAACCACTCCGTTGCAGATATAATGCCAATCAGCAATGGAAACTGGTACATTGCGATTGCAAGATGTTCTAGTTACTTCAGAGTGTGCCACACGTATCCTGTGTGAATGTGAGGCCTTAGCTTATTTAAGATTACATCACTTGGGTCAATACTTTATGGAACCAAGTGATTATTTCAACACCCCCATGTACAAATTCCTGCGCTTCAAATGAAGCGCAGGATTGCTGAAGAGATAACCAAAAGGGGAAGCACAATAGACCACTGTAGGTCACGGTGCAAGGGCCAAGAAGGCCCACCCCTTATACATTCATTCATTCATACTTCAGAGTGTGACAGGAAGTTGCTGATTGCTTGATAGCTCTCCTCGGTTTGAGTTCTTTTTACTAAACATTATGGCAGGTCTGAGCAAGATGATGCGTGTAAGTGATGAGGTGTTTTATGAACTGTTACAAGAGAATGACTACAGTGGTATTTCAGAGAGTGAATACAGTAGTGATAATGAAATAAATGTGAAAATTTCGTTAGGTGGTGAACAAAGTGTCACCTCTGATGAAGCAGAAAATATCAGCGACAACAGTAGCACGCAACCTGACATATGGGCAAATCCAGGTGCTGAGAGGCCACATTTTCTATTTACAGGCAAGCCTGGCATAAATGTTGATTTAAAAGACCCCAGTAACCCCATGCAATATTTTTAGTTGTTTTGTACACCAGACACTGTGGAAGTAGTAACCAGAGAAACAAATTGGTACGCCCAAAAATTTTTAGAAATCACGCCTAATCTAAAACTAAAATCTAGAACCCATCGCTGGGCTACATAATCTGAAAGTATTCACAGTATCTGCCATTTGAGTTGCAGCAATGTTTCTGATGGTATAAATGTTTTAGTGATGATTTTGTAGTCTGTAAAAGATAACAATTTTGCTGTGATGTTTGGAAGAACAGTTCAGTTCATTCATTCATCCATACTAGCCTTGAGATTTGAAAGGAAGTACAATTTTTAAGCCCACACAGCAATAAGAAACTCTGTTCATTAATGAGGCATACACAATGTCGCTAGACAGATTTGTCAGCTCACAATTATGATCATCTCTCATTTCTAAACATCAGGCATTGGTCAGGAATGTGTATACTGAAAGTGTATGACTCAGACATACCTGTGAGACCAACAGTCTGAACAGAAATGAAAGTCAGTGGTGACAGTGGTGGATTATTTGAGAATAAAGCCAATATTACAGATTTATACTAAAAATATATATACATGTTAATGTAAATGAAGAAAGTTGTCTNGTAAAGGCTACAGAAACAAAAATATGGGTATATGAAGTCTGCTGATTAGTCTTTCAGAGGCTTTTTGTTCCATAATTTTATTATGACATATGCCTGAGAAATTGCATTTTAAAAAGGGAGCAAAAATCATAAAATTAAACACTGCAGTGACAAATTTAAACATTCAAGGCAATTTAATGTGCCACTGCAGGACAGATAAGAACATGGAAAAGAATCACTTGACTGGTTAAAACTAATAACACAAAAACAAAATTAATCAATGGATGAAATAAGAGTAAAATTTCTATGGACAGGGAACAGAAAAATGTGACTCACAGTAAAACTGTCTCAGTTTTCACAGGGGGAATAGCAAGCTATACAGCTTCCTTATCAGTCCTGTGGGATGGAAGACAAAGGCTGTTATTGAGGTAGTCATGCAAAGAGATAGTAAGTAAGGATGCTCATTGGTTGTATACCCTGTAGGAATATTTTTGGAGCCTTGATGTACGAAGGGGGACCCAAAAATAACCGGAAACGACCTGTTGCGTGTGCATGCTTTGTAGTTACGAGTTGTGCTGCTAGGTGGTGTTAGCTGGGGGTCTCCCGCGACTGTTAGTGAGCTGGCGTCAGTCTGAGTTAAGTGGTTTGTCTGTGGTGCTCTGTTGTGTGCGTTCCTGTTTCAACCCTTTGGCGATTAGTGAGAT